TACCGAAATATCCATGTAGATTTTTAACCTTTAGTCAATCAATCTCAAATTTACTTTTGTCAATTTTATTTGTCTTATAAAAACATTCGAAAAACCTTACGCAATATGTTTCTTTTTTTACGAAAACACCACGATCTTTAGAACTCTCGCTATTCAACAGGCAAAAAATTATAATCTGAGAGTGAGCAAGGGAGGAGAGATGGCTATTTATACTGATAGTAAGCTCGTAAGGAGAGATTTGCATAGATAGATATTTATACTGACTAAATAATATATAGTAAATAAATAATATCTTTTAAGGAACTGATAATTTATATTATGCTGATTGAACATATTGCCAGGCACTTCTTTCTTTTGTACACAGTTCTTTTTTTCTCCTTTTTTAAATCTCTTTCTCATTGTTCTATACTTCCTTAATTTAATGTACATATGTAAAGACAAATGTAAAGGCATACATGTATGACAGCGCAAGTGTTTCTAGGGGGACATAGCGCTTTCTTGTTCCAAAATCAATTTATTAGGTGCCGCTCAAAAAGAGCAACCTAGTTTATGATAATTGCAACAATTAAATATGTGATGGTTATTCACATATTAAACAAAATGTAAACGCGGATTCAATCCCGGTTCATGGCTGTCGGGAATCGAGGGTGTTACCCACTCATCCTCCGACTCTTCTTCATAGCGCTTTAAATTGAAATAAAATAATACATAAAATTAGGTGAGATTTGCATAGATGGATATTCATACTGAGAGTGAACACATAAGGTGATAGTTGCATAGATGGCCAGATTTCCTATTTATTTGTATTGTTTGGAAGTTTTATTACCTCACGATTATAAGTGGAAAATTTGCTATTTGCAAAATAATAACATACATTCATCATTTTTAATATGATTCTGCACACACATTTTAAGAAATCGATCATTTTTATTATGTCGATTGAGGATATTTTCACACATTTCATTCTTTTGTACACAATTCTCTGTTTTCGTTTTTTTCTCTCTTTTAAACTTGTTGATATCGTATGACCATTACGGTCTAATATTATTACAAATATGTATAGACAAATGTAAAGGCAAAAGGTATGACAGTGCAAAATTCCCTAGGGAGACAGCGCTTTAAATTGAAATAAATAAATAATTCATCATATTTTAAGTAAAAAGTGTAAAAATCTTTGGATATTTTTATATCAACAAATTGATCAAAAACTAATAAAGACTATACTTTTTTCAGAGAAATCGTTGAACTATTCACCAACTATGGATTGTCTCTGAAACCTACAGACTCTGGTCGATGACAAACGTGCATGCAGTTTTAGCAAAAATTAGTCAAAAGAATATGTTATCTCGGCCATGGTATGATTTTGTAAATTATAAAATTAATCGTTGATTATTCCGCGATAAACTCAAAAACTACTGAACCAATTGTACCACATTTTGCATGTCGGCTTTTATAAACCTGAGGAAATTTTGGCTTACATTTTGATTAGTATTTTTGGCTATTTATATTTTTTATTTGAAGAACTTTTTTTTACACGGAGTGAATACGATGCGAAGAAACAACACCAGATAAATTGAGAAACTAATGAGCGTTCTGCATTTTTTTTTTCAAGTTGTTTGCGTACTTTTTTTGAAACATATTTTTATACGAGTGTTACTTTTTTTGCAAAGGTATTGAAAGAGAAATTCATATTACTAAGTTACAGTAAGTGCACACAATGCAATTTTAAAAAAAATTACAAAATTAGCGTACCTTATGTAAGTAATGGCTTTAGTATTTTTAATCAATTTTTGTTCTAGCCTTTGTTTTTTTATTTATCTCTTTAAAAAAAATCGTTTAAAAAGCAGCCGCATTAGCAAACAAATATGTACACCTAATATTCATGTGCCCTTTTATTTTTCACAAAAAATATTTACATGCCAGTATTTTGGATTAATTTTTTTGTGAACCTATTTTTTCTCATTCTTACTGAGAAGATGGGAATCGCAGTCAAGATCCATCGCAAACACACACTCAACTCATGCAATTTCAAAGGTTAATGCGCTGGGGCGGGTACCACGGGGGTTGGGTGTAAAAGCTGCCATCTATATCAACTATATTGATTTTGACACAACTAAATGTATTGCAAAAAATAATTAAATCAAATACCTAAACACTAATATTAAACAATTTTTGCCATCACACAGACCTTTTGCCTATGGTTTATGTGTTACCTCTGTATTTCTATTTTATGGCACTTCTACTATTTATTATTGAAGTACTTTCAGTGAAGGAAATTGCATTCGGGGGAATTCTCAGGCGAAGCTGGGTCATTCGTCTAGTAGGTTATATAGTTTCCCGGAGCAAAAATAAAAAAACACGAAATCGTGAGGTAGAAGGTTTCTTAATTCATAATTATTTTTCTTATATGTTTACAACTTTTTCCTGTGAAAGGGCAGACATTCTCAAAATCTAGGCAAAATAATAAAACCTTAAAAGAAACCTTTTCACTTTCAGTTTTTATTAACATCATCAGCACAAGTTTAGACGACAATTTTACAATAATTATTTACAGCTTCAAAACATTGAATGATTAAACTATAATACATATATGATGATAAATATTAATTCTCCGTGATCAATTAAATAAATCTTAAATACATCCGGGGTAGGAAAAGCGTTTTTATCAATTTTGTAACATGAAGTCTCTCAAGTTGATATAAGCGTTTATATATGAGTTCATATATAAAAAGATAAAGAAACTTATATGTGTATAGATCTTCGAATTTTTTAAACATTTCATCATGAATAATGAATTTAAAATGTTTCTAAAATAAATTGAAAATAACAACTAATTTAAAATATATATCATTCAGTTATTTATTTTTCTCATTATATTAAAATTTATAATTGAAAAGGCATATATTGGGTCAAAATATCATTTATTTTACCAATATTTCAGTTGGCTGAACGCCAACATTTATCAAGGTATTATAACATATTAAATTGCAACATATTGTAATACCTTGATAAAAGTTGGCGTTCAATCAACTGAAATATTGCTAGAATAAATAATATTTTGATCCAATTTATGCCTTTTTAATTAAAGATTTATTTAGGGATAGCTCTTTTTTCAAAATTGAATTTTATATATCGAAAAAATGCTTATAATAAATATTGGTATCCATGCATTCTAGAGATATATATTTAAATAAATAGTTCACAAAGGTGTACATATAAATTGTACAAAGGAAATCTGCATTTCCTGATATGCAAATATCAGTTGTATGATCAGGGGATGTTTCTTTCAATATTTGATATCAATAAAGTTTAAAAAGCAATAAATTCAAAGCATATTGAGTAAAGACCTTTCTACAAAAAAATTCAGATAGGTATATTTGTGTTCATACTAGCTATTATTTACTTAGATTTCATTGTATACTATTTTTAAACTGTTGCACCACGTATTATCGGTATGGTTCAACAAACACGTGGGATCGCTAAGAAACTCTGTTCGACTCTTCATTATTTACCTTCGTTTGATTCCATTTTTAATAATAGAAATCTATATATTATATACTACTTTGATTTTCCAAATATTAGTTTTTATTTTCAATTTATTCAATTATCCAAACGTCGATTTTTTTTGGTTCAAATTTTGTTTTTTATATTCATCATAACCAAATTACTTTGGGTTAAAACAAGTGCGTTTGTATTATTAATTTTTATTGTTTTAATGGTAGAGAGAGAGATATATTTCGTGTTTAAATTCAATTATTAATTAACTAGCCGAATGACCCGGGCAACGCCCGTGTTTTCCCCGATTGAATGTTTTGATTCAAATACTATTTGTTACAATTATAAATTGTGGTCATGTGGCCTAGTGGTCATGGCATCTGCCCGGTAAGCGGAAGGTCGTGGGTTCGATTCCCATCCCTTGACACTTTTTTTATTTTATCCATTCTGACCAAAATCTATCCGTGAACTTCACACAGTGAACTTCACACAGACAGAATAAGGCAATTATATAAGTAGATATTTTCTATTATAATCATAAAATGTCTTCTCTGTGGAAAATTCTCCTTTGAATCTACTCTGGATGCCCAGGATTTATCCGTGTTGGTCGTATCTGCCCGAATTCTTTGCTTAGAAAGTGGTTTCACGTACCCTTACTTGAAATGTTGCTTCTAAGGAATAAGAAACCACTGCAATTTATATGTCACCATTTATACTCTTAATGTTTATTCACAGGCCTTTCAGGTAACCCCGGGGCGTTGCCCGGGTCACTCGGGTAGTCTACTAATGGTAGATTATATTTTAAGATGAATTTCCATTAAATAATGAACACAGAATGAATAATATTACGTACAACTAGAAGCACAAGTCTTTCTCATCCAGGAGACTTACAACTTCACCAAGAGGCCACCATAGTTGAAGTGCCATTGGCTCTTCGGCAAAGGAAGGGATGACAGCTTCACTCCAGTTTCGAATCCATCTGCAAGTTTACCTTAGACTTGAACTGAGGGGAGTTAAAAATACCATTTATTTTCTGGATGATAATTCTTCATCTTTGGGGTAACCTTTTCCGACTATACAGAATAATATTTGTGTGAAAATAATTTTAAAATATAAAAAAAGGTAGGTGTTGATAATAAAAACAAAATGTGCATATCCAGACCGTTCATATAATTATACTTGTGATCACAATATTTATATTTTTGTCTTTTGCTGTTGATTATATTAGTACAAAAAGACCCTGTTTGTTCTTCGAACAAAATGATACAAAAAAAAAACGATATTCTCGAACATTTTAGATTTCAAATATTATGTGAAGTGATAGCAATGTTTCGGCCTAGCCTTGACACTCATCAGGCTAAGGGCATTACTTAACTACGAGCTATCACACGGGTTAGAAGTTTTCCTTCTTTTATGTAGATTTTTTACTGAGGGTTACTCCTCTATGCCACGCTGGGCTAGTAATAATAATATAAATGAGTTTTAAAAATTGTAAAAAAAAAAAAGGAATCGGCCGGGAACCGATCCCGGGCCGACCGCGTGGCAGGCGAGCATTCTACCACTGAACCACCGATGCTTATAAGAAATGGCCATATTTAGGTATTTATTCCATTCACAAAAGCAAACGATGACAGAATTGATTGTTGATGACTCTGATACTTGTATATTTAATTATTTACCATTAACGAAATGTTCAAAAAATGATTAGAGACTTTTTCAGTTATCGTTTGTAAAAGTCGTACAGAGCATAATAATCATGGTGGGTAGGAGTTGGCGATTAGTTTCACAGCATCATATGTCTACACATTTAGAAAGCGCAGTTCGACTTTGGCACTTGATATTTTGTCAGAGTTCCGTTTGGTTAATTGCACTCACTGGTGAAGTTGGATTGTTTCAAGTATTGGAAGATATTCGAGAATATTTTAGTTCAGAAAAAAGTGCCCAATACGGGATTCGATACCGGCTCGTGACTGTCGAAGGTTTATACCAACCCAAACCCCGTTCAAACTTTAAACTCCAGCCCTATATCTATAACACTAGTTTCTAATTTAATTAATACATTCAATTATATTTTTTCTAATTAAAAGTGTTTACTTACCTTTTTATACACAAATTATTATAAAGGATTAACGCACATCTATATATAACAAATGAAAAACATTAAGAAGCCAATGTTTCTTTTCACAAATAGATCACACTTCTGCTATCCTTACTGCGATGAAAAATATTGGGAGGTATTGACTCATCAGTGGTGAACCTTCCCATCGCGAAATTTTCGAAACCGCTAGGAATGTTCACCACAGATGAACCAAACCCTCCCAATATTTTTCAACGCAGTAAGGATAGTAGAAGTTTTATTTATTTGTGAAAAGAAACATTCGCGTCTTAAAGTTTTCATGTTTTATTCTCAAATTATGCTGAATTATATTAACATATGTATAAATAATCTAAATAATTATATTTATCAATATATATAATGTAAATATTAATATTTTATATAGTTACATCATATATAATAATTTGGTATTTTACTTGCGTATAATATTACATTAGCAATACAACAATATCTATTAGAGCGATTATTTTTCAAATAAGTATTAATATATTTTATTGTTATATTTCAAATAATCGATCTAATAATTCGAATATATGTCAAATATTAAAAATACTATAAGAATATATGTAAATATATTCTCAATATAAAATTCAATGAGAGATAGATATTTATCCTGATATAGAAAAAAAGAAAATAAAATATATCGAAGGTATTAGATATCGGAAGAATTCAAAGGTAATCTGTTGCAATTGATCCCTCATCTTATAATGGAAGGGAAGGGCGTCGTACTTTATAAATAATTCATGATATCCTCATTAATATTATAACGGTTTCTGGGTATTGCGAGCAGACGACTCTCTCTGTAGCCTTCTCGTCTGCCACATAAAATATATAAGAGACACTGAGGTTATTTGATATTTTTTTTTTTTAAACTGACTCTAGCTCAATGATGTTGATATATGTCTAAACCTTTTTGAAAATAGAGCAATCCATAAATAGATATTTAATTAAAAGACATTAAGAAAATTCGAAACTATTATAGACGCGTATGATTCTTTTAAAAATTGAATAATTTCTACTGCCCTTACTGAAATGGAAAAATCCCAATAATTTTTCCCTTGCAGTAAGGGCTGTATAAATTATTTAATTTTTAAAAGAATCATATGCGTCAATAATAGTTTCGAATTTTCATAACAGACGGCCCACTAATGCATCATAAAAAGTAATTATATATATTATATTAAAAATAATTTATTTACTGATATTTCAGTTGTAGTGAACGTCAACCTATTTAAAGAAATAGCAACATATTCATGTCTAAATCTATGAACAAAATTTTAAATAAAATACCTTTTGTTATATGATGCTACAAATAATATTCCATTAACCTACTTTAAATATTAGCTCTCTTTATATTATATTGTCACTGAATAATTATTTTAAATATTCTGTGGTATATCATCATTAATATTTGCATAGTCAACACCCCTTACCATTCTTGTATATTATTACTGGTAAATAATTTTTAGAAATAGTTTGGCATTTTATAAATAAATTATTTTTTACTTAAACTTTTGTTATACTCGTTATCACTACCGTGACAACTGGTGGAGAAGCTGGAATATTCCCTCGACGCCCAAGCCGTTAGAAGAAGCCGAAGACTACAAGGACTAGAACCTCAAGAAAACATCGCTATGATAAAGCAAGAGACACAGACAAAAATGGGTGAGTACCATTTTCAACCTTTTAGAAACCCTTCTATTTTTACTGGAGAACGCAACCAGAATCCAGAAAAATGGTTGAAAGAATTCCATCGCGTCGCTCGCTACAACTGCTGGGATGATTCAATGTGCCTCGCAAATGTTTATTTTTTCCTCCAAGGAACAGCGCACAGATGGTACGAAAATGTTGAAGAGAAAATTAACTCATGGGATATTTTTGTGAAAATGTTTTCTCAGAATTTCGGACATCATGTCACCCAAAAAGATCAACTCGCAGAGAACCTCAAAACTCGAGCTCAGGGGAAGGAGGAGACCAGTGATTCTTACATTCAAGATGTTCTCTATCTGTGCAGAGAAGTGAATCCGGCTATGATGGAAAATGAAATAGTTGCACACTTGACGAAAGGAATATCGGAGGAGATATATCAGTCAATCATCATTTTAGACATTGCAAGTATCGATGAGTTCATCAAATGGTGCCGAAAAATCGAGGCTTCAAATAAAAAACGTGTAAAAAAACGTGTAGTATTTGACAGACTACCGAATGTTGCCGCCATCGATTCAGCAGACTCTGAATCAATGGAAGACTTAATCCGACGCATCGTGCGTGAAGAAGTTCATCGCGCACTAAATCCGGAGTCAACCACCCTTGAACCATCTTCTCTGAAAGAAATTATCCGAGAAGAGATTGAAAAAAACGTAGCTGCAATTTCGAAGCCTATTCAAAGGCCTCCGCCACGACAGTCGTACCCCAACCAAACACGTACATTCAACCAGGTTCCACGACGTCAGTACCCTACCCAAACGCCCATATATAACCAGACGCCACCACAACGAAGAACGGATGAATGGAGGACGCATGACAACATCCCAATATGTTTTAATTGCGGCCGCCCAGGCCATGTTAAGCGATATTGTAGAGAACGCCGACAATGGACGCAGAGACCCGAAGGACATGCACCAAGCACCCAAGAACCTCAAATGGGTAACCACCAAGCCATAAGAAGCCAAACCTACCGCAGACAATCGCCGTATCCAAACAGAGGAAGATCCCCAAGACGCCAGTCCATTTCCCCAGGCCGCCTTACAAGCCAATCCCCACGCCGCTACAATCTAGAAAAAAACTAAGCGTCGCGTCTTCTTTCGAGGGGGAAGCCGTGGGTGTGAAAAACCCTCCATCGTCGACAGCCGCTAAATTACAACAAAATTATGTCGAAATCATCATTGATGACATTGCATTTTCTGCTCTGGTCGATTCAGGTTCCTCTTTTTCAGTTATCTCTGATGGATTAAGACGACAATTAAAAAAGACCATGTTCAAAGATAGCGGAATGACTCTGAAAGTTGCTGATGGCAAGAATGTTACATCGATCGGCCGATGCACAATCAGCTTGAGCATCAATGGATTGGAACAGCCGCTTGAGTTTATCGTCCTCCCTAATAGTAACCCAAGTATTATCCTCGGATGGGATTTCCTAGAGGCTTCAAATGCCGTGATTGATTGTGGACGCGCCGAAATCAGATTGGAAGAGGCCAAAGATGTACTAAATTCACCAGCTTCCATGGGAAAGGTTGTGGCTAGCAGAAGCGTCGTAATCCCAGCCGAATCTACCAAACTAATAAATGTTATGAGTGAAGAGCTTAATGGGCAAAATCAGGTACTTTTTGAACCTTCGAAAAAGGTATTAATAGGAAAAGGGTTAACACTTCCCTGTGCATTATTCAGGCTTTCCCATAATAAAGGAAAACTTTGGATCGTTAATTCTAGCACCACAGCTCAAATAGTCCCTAAGGGAATGTGCCTAGGAAAAATTCAAAGGGTTGAAGAAAATAACTTGACGGCTATTTCAGAATGTTCTGAATCTAATAAGGAGGTGAAAAATGCGAATCATGCCAGTCATGCTGATAAAAGTGACTTTAAATTTTTACAAAATTTAATTAGTGATGATTTATCAGAAGAGCAGCAGTCTCAAATCTTATCAATTTTAAAACGATATGATAAAATATTTGATAAAAATAATGAATCTGTAAAGCAAACTTCATTAGCCAAACATAAAATTGAAACTGGAAACCATCAGCCTATTAAGCATAGACCATATCGAGTCTCCCCTACAGAACGCCAAGCAATCCAAACGGAAGTGGACAAAATGCTAGACGCCGGTATTATACGTCATTCAGAAAGTCCATGGTCATCGCCGGTTATTTTAGTGAAGAAGAAGGATGGTAACTGGCGTTTCTGTGTGGATTACAGACGACTAAACAAAGTTACTAAAAAAGACGTTTACCCACTACCCCGAATCGATGATACACTTGACTACCTGAAAGGAGCCAAATTTTATTCATCAATGGACCTTCGTTCAGGATATTGGCAAATAGAAGTCGACGAAGCAGATAGAGAAAAAAACTGCCTTTATCACCCCTGACGGACTCTACGAATTCCTAGTCATGCCCTTTGGCCTGTGCAATGCCCCTGCAACATTCGAGCGCATGATGGACAAGATATTGAAAGGCCTGAAATGGACGATGGCCCTCTGTTATTTAGACGACATCGTGGTGTATTCCAAATCGTTCAACGAACATTTACACCGGCTTGAAATCATACTACAATGTCTCGACAAGGCCGAGCTACGCCTCAACCCAAAAAAGTGCCTTTTCGGAACCAAACGAATCAGAGTGTTTGGACACCTCGTCGATAGTAAAGGTATTTATCCCGATCCAGAAAAAATTGAAGCTATCGCCAAGTTTCCAACCCCAAAATCTATAACAGATGTGAGAAGCTTCATTGGCCTATGTTCCTAT